CAATGGAAAGAAGAGACTGGGACTCTTACCACAGAGCATACCTGGAACTTCTTGGACCTTAGAGCTAGTTATGTCTAGAAACATCTATATGACATCTCTAGCATTTTTGCAAGAGTGAATTTTTTAGGTGAAGGATGAGTTTATAAGTAGCTTACAGAAGCTAATAAATGATTTATAGATGTTTTGATAGTTAATCAATTATTTTAGACTGTTAGATAAGTAAAGAGGCTGCTTAAAACCATGGCTTGTAACCATCAAAGCCACTTTATTTTGGCTGTGTTCATTCGCACTTCAGTATCAGTGTGTTGCAGATATGCTAACATTTATTAATGATTTATTAACCTGTTAGAAACCATCTGTAAATGCAAGCTTTGTGCAAAGTGAGACCATTTCTTCTCTTATTTCTGTTTTCCTTCCCCTGCTGAGAGAGGTCTGCTTGAGGCAGCTGGCATAGCTGATGGGGAAGAAGCAGTGTTTCTTCTCTGTACTACACTGAGCTTAGAGCTAAGAGTAGGACTTCATTTTTCTTGTCTTGTCAGTAACTTAATCCTTTGTGGTTTTACTGTTCCTGAAATAATAAAGTCAGTCTGGAGCCAAAGGAAAGCCCTTCTCAATTCTCAGGAAAGCACAAGGATGAAGTAACCTTGGTCTTTCCCAAGCTAGTGAGCAAATGTTTTCTGCTGGTGACTTTCCCCGGCTGGGAGAGCAGAAGCATCTCCTGCAAATAAAACTCGATCCTGGAAGTTGCAACAATGGTACTCTGCACCAGAGTCCATAATGAAGATCTGTTGCGGTAGTATTGGGTAAGGGAGGATGAGCCCAGGAGACAAGCCGTTGGTTTTCTGCGTGGAATTTGCCAAAGTAAAATTAATTCTCATGTTCCAGTGGGCATCTGACCTTTCTAAACTTAGATTTCATAACGAACCCTGTAAAAATTATGTAAGCCTCCTTTTAACTCCTTCCCTCCTCCTCTGCAATCTAATGAATAAAATGGCATCATGTATGCAAAACAATGCTACCATTCAGGAGCGGAAATGTACTCCAGCGTCACATTTGTAACGAGGCAGGAGACTTTTCCAGGTTCTTCCTCTCCATATCTCATTTAGAAAAGAAAAATGCCCTTTTTTCTTATGTGCCTTCACTAACGTGCAAGAATTAAGTGAATGGGCAAGGTAGCGCTTACAAGGTAGAGCCCTGCAGAAATTTTTTTTTGGCCAAATTCCAGCTAAATCTTGAATCACTGTTTGATTTCAATAAGAACATATATGATGACTTGTTACAGATGGGCTGTTTCACTGCGGCTGAGTGTTCCTAGATCCCACCGATTGCCACCAGGACTTTAGGACACTCAGCATCTTTTGATGTCAAGAACCAGTGGAGGAAATCATAGGAAGGAGTTCTACCTCTTTGCTCTCTGCTGCATCAAAACAAAAGAAAGAACACTTCTGCAGTTTCATGGTTTGCCATTTCTTCATTAGCTGTTTCTTTTAGCCCTTACTACTGTATGTTGGAGGGTTTTAGAATATTTTAGAGAGACAAAGAATAACGGGAATAATTTATTTTATGCCAAGAATTGTTTGATAATTTTTTCTCAAATCTGTTGGCTTACTACAATCTAAAAATCCTAAGAAATATATACAGAAAGATCTGTGAGAAGCAGTAAAATTATTTCAAGGACCTCGTCAGTCTTGGGGCTGATAGATTTATTATTGTTTAAGCCTGACATACATATCTAATTGTGAGACCTGTTCCTCACATGAATGCTCCTGGCTACTTATGTTGACTTCCATGGGACTATTTTTGTGTTAGATTTACAGAGCTGATCTTTAATGGGTAGCAATCTATCCTTATTACAGTGGGGAAAAAGAGGTGAAATACTGAGTTACTTGAGGGCAGAATCTGGACCATTTCATACTGAGAGCAAAGAAAGTTATTTTTCTTTTTAAACAAACAAACCAATATAGACACACTATTTGGAGGGAGTTTGGTTTTTGTTTTTAATTCTCGGTATATCTGACCTTCAAAAGGACATGTAACAATGCAATTCAGAGGTGTGCTGCCTACAAGCTCAGCTCCTTGTTGTGTCTGTGCAGCTGAGAAAAGTGAAAACAAAGCAGCAGATACTTTGAGTTCCCAATGAGAAAAAAGAAAACTGTCAGCCTTTTCTTGCTATATTGTTAAATATCTCTATTTAAATGCAAATTATCATCTGACACTGCCAAAGTCATGTACCAGGAAGTAGGCGTGCAAGTTAAAAAAAAAAAAATTAAATTATTTTTGAAGATGCTGGATCGCTTTTATTTCCAGGAGGAGTAGAGTTGGCTGAATACGTTCTTGGTTGTATACCAAGGGTCAGCTCAGCACCTAGGAGTTTCAAATATGAAGATTTTTATTTTAAGTGCAGCTTTTGCAGAAGTGTGGGCGGCCTGTCTAGTTAGAGATCACTTGGAGGGGTGCTTGAAGATTCTTCTGTGTTATCTCACTGCACGTACTGCAGTGGAAAGCCCAGTGTGTACAATATGTTTTGGAAAGGGCTAGAATCCAGGGACAGAAAGAGGAAGAAACAGCCAAGCTGGTGCCTTGTTCTGCCTCAGGTATATGTGGTTACAAGTGATCCGTGCAGTGCTTTATACTGCATCTAGCTGCAAGACTTCTGGCTTTCTCCCTAAACTCCAGACCCCTTAAGCTAGACAGGCATGAGATTTGACCGCAAGGAAGGATTTGGCATAAAATAGTCTTGCAAGAGGAGGCTCTGTTGTCCATGGGTTGTGGTTCCTCCCCAGCTGCCCCCAGCAGGGATGTTCCTGCTTAGGTGAGGACCAAGCAACACAAGTGGTGAAGAGGTTATTTGAACGTACATCCGGGGCCCTACCCTTTCTCATTCCCACTTCTTCTGTTGGTCAGGGATAGCCAGTTTGTAAAACCCGCTTCCTGGGGATCATTTTTATTCAGTTGGGTGAGCACCAAAGCCAACAAGCAAGCTGTATCTTACTGAGTCTCCTCTGTTAAAATTCTTCCTTTAATTTGCTGTTTCCCTCGCCTTCTTTTTAAACTTGCATTCTTATAAATCAATATGGATATATTTGCTTTCTACACAGGGTTCCAGTAGTCTCTTAATAATCATAATAATCATTATTACTGATTAAAGTTGCATTATTCATGCCAGATGGAGTCCCCTCCCTGTCAGCCAGAATGAGTTTGCATTATGTAGTTATAGTACATTTGTGATCTAAATAAACAGATGGCAGAACGTGACAGCAAATTATGTGCTGGTGATGTCAGCAACAACACTTCCCGAGTATAATTGCTTTAAATGAACATGAATGCAGCAAGGAGATGGTAGTTTTAACAAGGTAGTTGGCATACAGTGTGGTAATTACGATACAACATCATCAATAGTGCCGTGAATGCTGTGCGAGTGCTGAGGGAAGAACGCTAGCTTTGAAAATGTAGTGAGAGAAAGTCCGACTTTACACAACTATCACAGTGGGTTTGCTCAACTGTGTAATGTCTCATAGGTATAAGCACACTGCTAGCAGAGGAGCAGTGTTTTCTTTTGGGGTGATCCAACCTTTGCTGAGAGACAGTTTGCATTTTCTCCTATGCTGTCTCCCATCAGGGCATGTGGGAAGTATTTGATTTAGTGTAATGGAGCAGTGTTAACAGCAGCTGCTGTTAATACAGGATTGAAAGGTAAGCTTCTGGATCAGGTTCAAAGGGGAAATTTGCTTAATAGAATCTCAGCAGTATTGAGCGATGAATAAAAGTTTCATCAAAGACGAGATTAGGTTCCTGTGGTCAAAAGAGCAGTGATAAGGACTGTGCATAGTCTTCAACAATGCTTATGTTGGGTTTCTCAGTTCATCCCTTCAGGTCTGGCTGGGTGTAAAGGGCTTGGCTACCTACACCTCAGGCACTGCCACCTGTGTTTTAGCAGCAGCGGCTCGGTGCAGTAAAGTAGGCTCTCCGTGTGTGGAGGGAGAAGCACTAAGAGCAGGAGGGTGACTGAGCTCTGGCCACATGTGGATTGAAGCTGTGGAATGAGGTCTCCATTCGCTCACAGTCAGGACTGGCGTGGGACTGTCCAAGTGTTTTCTCAATTAACGTAAGATGCAGCCAGAGGAGAATGTGCCGGTTCTTCTGCCTGATTCCCATTTCCTCGCACAGTGGTCAGCATTTAGCTACAAAATGGAAGATGTGAACTCAACTCCCTTTTCAGTCCAGGCGGGTTTCAGTCACTGATTACTAGGTAGTTTATAAAAGCTACCATTGCTAACTCTTCCTACTCCATCTGTATTTTACAATGAAAGCACCTACAGTTCCTTTTCTTGAGTGACTAAACCTGTCAGCGTGTGGAAGGACGGTGTAGAGCATCGTCTCTAGGTTCTGAAGGTACATGAGGTTCCTTCAGAAGCACAACCGCAGACAACTAGAGAACCAGCAGCCAGAAAACGAAAGGTCATGTGAGCTTAGCTGTCGCTGGGGTTAAGTGGTTGCACAGGGCACATTTCCTTTACCATGATATTGGACATGAAGACTATGCAAGCTTTTGGGGGTGAGGGGTGGCTTTTAATCAAAGGCATTGAGTGTATCGCCCCATTGTTCAGATGCAATTGGATGATAGATAGATAGACAGACAGAGAGACAGACAGACATCCTCTCTAGCACAGCCATCTCTTCTCCTGTGGAGGAATGAATGGGTCTTACATAGGCCATAGAGAGCAATAGTAATAGCACTGGGTGATGAAATTGTTCCTCAGTCCTCCAGACTTGTTCATCTTTTTTTGTTTTAAAATGTCCCAGTCATTATACATAGCAGTATGTTTGACACTAATTCTGGCTATTTATCTGGGCCTTTTTTACAGGCACTGTTTCAACCTTGGTAAAGCATAAAAACGCTCCAAAGACAAGGTGGGCCCTCCTCTCAGCAGTTGCTGGGTGTTGAAGAAATGAAAGGAAGCCACATTTATAATCTCTCTCTCTTTCTGTCTGTCCTGCAGGTGGCCGATGCCACAAGTCCTGCACAGGCCGTTGCTGGGGACCCACAGAGAATCACTGCCAGACCTGTAAGTATGCAAGACTCTGAGAAACAAAGGACTGAAAAATTATGTAATGGGGATCCTACTTTTTTTTTAATTGTGAAGGGATACTACAAATTCTGGTTTTAGTATAATTCTAAATATTTGAAATGTTTTTCCATATGTTTTTACCAACAGATGATCTGCTTTTTTTCCACCCATGTGAATTTATATTTTTCTTTCCTCCTTTGTGCTTTCTAAAAATGCTTAAGCTAACTTGAATTTTCTTTTCACTTCTTGGCAGCAACATGGAGCACAGCTCCTGAGAATATTGATGGTTATTTTGGAATACACTGAAATGAATACTTCAGGAATAGAAAAAACTACAAGGCAGATTTGGAGATCTTTAATGACGGCCTGACACTGCAAACTTCCTAATGCCAAAATACTCTGTTAATTTCAGTGGGAGCCTGGGAATATTAGTTATCTTGCAGAATTGTTCTCTTTATAATAACTTCAGAATGTATTTGAGTTGTACTGAAAGAGAGAATAATAGGGTTTTTTGTGATGGAAGTAGTAAGTGAAGGGTTGTTCATAATGTCTGTCTGTCCTCTTGAATTTAGAGAGCATTAAAATGAATAAAAAAGAACTATATTGAGAGAGTTTCTTCCTTGTGTGCTTTCAGCTCCTTCAGATAGGCACTAAAGAGCTAGAAGTGCAATCACAATATTAGCAAATATAAAAGAGGAGAAAATCGAGAGCTGCCTTTTCCTACAAGTTTTTTCTCTTTCCCCCCTTACAGGAATAGAGCTATCCTTTACATTTCCTTTCTTTGAAATTTAGGAGGGTGGAAATTGGTTGCGTTTACTGGAGTCACTCTTCCTAGGAAATGGAATGGTTGCTGATATCTCCCCCAGAGAGCACTGCTCTAGCTTGTGCTTGTTTCCTTGGCTGAGTTGTAGATAGGAGAAAGGGATTGTGACAAATTAACTGCTATCAAGTGAGCACACCGACTAACTCTCTCAACCTATGATAGCTCGATGTCATCTGCCTTTTTTGTTGAAATATTAGGAACAGTGCAACTATGCTTTTTTTTTTTTTACTAGTTGGAGCAAGAGATAAGAGGAAATTAGAAATGGCAGACAGCTTGACATGAACGTTTTGTGAGTTAGCACGAGCAGGAAATCCAAGCTGACCTCCTGTACGTGGCAAAGCGAGGGGCACAGGCGATGGAGCTGCGTGCCTGCAGAGGCTCTGCCACCCTGCCGGGCATTGGTTTTTATTCAGGAGCATCAACTGATGTTGCTGGCAAAGCTGATGACGGTTACAGCTCTGCTAAAGTTATTAACATGTTCTTGTATTACTGTTTCATATTGAGCTTTATCTGTGGGTGTGATTAAAAACGCTTTAGGACAGGTTGTAGGAAAAACTGTGTAACAAACCAGGTACAGTGAGGCTAAGCAGATTCTTCTTTGTCTGAATCGAGCTAGTACATCTCCTTCCTTTGCTGGCAGTCTTTATGAAAGCCCCAAAGAAGTCAGCGCTCAGAAAGCCTTCTAACATCAAGGTTATGTGCTGAAGCAGATAATGGAAAGGGACTTAAACCCTAGCTGACGAAATTATTTTATATCATGGTTAGAATTAATTAATGCTGGTTCTTTCTCTGTCCTAATGAGAGGCCTGTTTGTCTATTAAAAGTAGTAACTCCGTAAGAACCTGGGTAATTCATCCAAACTGGAGTAAACTTTTTCAGGCCTTATGTGGTTAGCTTATCCAAGAACACTGCAAAACCTTGACAGTTGTATTATATAAGGATGCTATCTATGATCCTGGCTCAGGCCTCGGCTCCAACAAGCAGAGGCTCCAGCCGTATGTAAAGTTGGAAAGTCCAACTGGACTCTGTGTGGCTGCAGAAGTCCATGTGGCAGGACCAGCTCCCACGGTCTCAACCTCTACAAAACACTGCTCTCAGATAAGTGAACTGATTTGGTGGATTAATGTAGTAATACCAGGCAGAGAAAAACTTATCTGCAGTGTTGTGAAGTCAGAAGCTTAGCAGAGCTGCACAGTAGGTTTGCTCCGGGAGCGACAGCTATCTCTCTCTTCACAGTGACTGCCCTCTCAAATCCACACAGTGGGGACAGGCTAAGGCACAACCATGGATTTAAATTAGTAAACTATGGAAAATATGGAAACATATAAACATATGGAAATATGCCATCTAAGTTCCAGGGAGGTACACAGATCACACATTTCTAATTTGAAATAGCTACTCTACAGCCTTTTACCTTCGAGCACACTCTGCAGCCTCTGGTTATGAGGGGCAGGAGTTAATTTTGTATTGTATACTTCCTCTTTGCCTCCCTGACCTCGCTGCACCCTGGGTAAACAGCAGGATTTAAGGAAAAGACTGAATATTAGGCTGGCAACAGGCATTTCTTCATTGCACTTTCTCAAAATGTGGTCTTCTGCAAACTGTTTGAAGCCAAGAATATGAGTAGGGACTAAAAACATAAAAATGCAAGTGGTGCTGTTCTTTTGCTGCCTTCATTTCTGACTTTAAAAAACATGCCTGGCTTTCAAGCTTATAAATGTTATTCTTAGATACAAGCCGGAGATAGGATGAATGGTATCACAAACATAGCGTATACCTTAACCTAGTCACCTTGGGGATGCACGTCTTTCAAACACGTGTAGGAAAACACTTCAGCAGTACTACATTCCAGTGTCAAACTATTTTGTTCCTAGAAACAGCTGAGAGGCACATCTGCATTTTAATAATTTCATTTTCTTTATGGAGTCACTGAAGCAAAAAATTCTAATGAACCCCCCTCCCAAGATAAGATTTAAATTATTTTCCTGGGAAAGGATAAAAAATGAAAGATCTTAATCTGCGTCTTTCATTTCAAATTACATATGGAAAAAAATCAAAATCCTTTTGTTTTTTGCATGAATATCATCTACCTAGCTGCTTCTTATGTTGCCTTCCAGCAATGTCTCTCTGTACTTCTAACTCTGTCTGAAACACCACCTGCATCTAACTCTGTCCTGATGTCTCTCTAAATGTGACAAGAACATTTATGTATTTAAGATGACAATTAATAGGAAATTTGAAATAAGCTGTTCTGTTAGGAGGTAGAGAAGATGTAATTTCAGGGTAATGTTTTATGCAATTAACAATCCATTTTTCTTTTATAATTAAAATATTAGTAAATATTAATACTGAACATTTAAAAGCTAGATGGTATTCTTTGTTTCAGTGTCAGAAAAGGCTAATGTGGACATACTTTAAAAAAGAACCTATTTTTCAAAGAGTATTGGGCACCCACTAAATAGAACGTAAACCACTTTAAAAAACCACAAGAACAAACACTTTTGGAAGTTACTAATCTGTTGTGGTTTAACCTCAGCCAGCAACTGAGCACCACACAGCCGCTTGCTCACTCTCCCTCCCCCCGCCCCCCTGGTGGGATGGGGGAGAGAATTGGAAGAGTAGAAGTGAGAAAAACTCATGGGTTGAGATAAGAACAGTTT